GGAAACTGTAACACAGGGACTAAAATCCCACCCTGTAGCCAGAAAAGTCCTCCCCACTCTGCTAGGGAGAAAAAAGGAAGCAAAGCAAAAACTCAGAATTGTTGGCCAAGCCAGGCAGAAGCTCTGCTCCCACCTGCACATCTGCCTTGGGCTTTTCTTCTTTTCAGATTGTTGCAAGAAAACAGATGGCTGCAGAAGCCTGAATTTTAAATTTATGAATGGAAATTTGAACAGATGTTAGCAATCAAGATGGCATGTAAGAATTTTTCTCATACCATGTTTACAGCCCAGCCTCCTTCACATAAATGGGAGAGAGGGTCATAAAAGGGGTAGTTTTTGATCTCAGGACAGCATGGATCCAGCATGGTAATTATGTGGCACAATAACGGAAATGTTGAAAGAACAAAGAAAGAAAACACTAATCAGCGCCCTGTATAAATGCTAAATATTTATCTACAAAATGATAAAATGTATCCGCAAGAAAACCATTAACCCATCAGAGTACTTTCTGTGTTTTAAGTAGGTGAAGTTCAAGCCCAGGGTTTTAACAAGTATCTGTGAATGCCTGCTTACTGAAATTCTGTTTAGGCTTTTGACATGATATAGCTTGTTTCGTTTGGTTTGGTTTGGTTGGAAGTCCCCGACATATGGGGTCTTACTAGATTTCAGAGAGGAATTGAGTGAAAGGATAGTCAGAGAGATGGGTTTATATGTGCCTGCATCTATCATCCAGTGCTAGGGACTGGGTTAGGTCCTAAGGGCAGGTGGGGAGCGGTGAAATGAATCAAAGCTGATCTAGGTCCTCCACATGCTTAGAATGGAAGGTAAAAGCAGGCTGGAACAAGGTATATGTTGAAGGTTACAGGAGTGAAGAGAAAGTGTTAGGAGTGAGTTGGACAGTTAGGTAGTCAGGGCCAGGGTCCCCAACAAGAAAATATGGATTCAGGACAGCTAAGATAAAACACTAACATCCCATTTTGCAGCTTAGACAGGACCTCACTAGCTTTCTGCTTTGCAGCCTTTGCAGAAATGACTTCTGCAAAATGTCCTAAAATAAGGCAATGAATCACACAGCATTTGTCACCATCACGGGCAAAGGGTAGTTAAGACATAAGCCCCCAGATGTCAGCAAAAAAGACCATCTGCAGGTAGACATTAACCTAATAGGTAGACAGATATATGACCAAAGCCCTGGTTGGCACAACTCAAAACACCCTGATTGCTGAAGATAGAGCTCATAAAACCCTTTAAACTTAGAAACTGCAAGGGCAAACCTCTAGGGTCCCCTCCCTCTCCAGGAGCTTTATACTCTTGCTCAATTAACTTTGCTTTGCTGCTCACCACTCTTCGTCTGGTCTACCTCTTCATCCTTCAAAGTGGCATGACCAAGAACCACGGGCACTAAAGGCAGAGAATTCCTGCTACGAAAGGAGTAAGGTTGATTGGGGACAGGATAATGATAGTGGTTTCCAATATCCTATGGGAAGAGTCTGGAGCGTGGGGCCATCTAGGAGAAGAGTGTCACTCAGGGTTTGTTAGTAATTCCTACTGGCTACATTTTCAAAGTATGGGGTGGCCATAAAGTTTGGAAACATGGATCATATTATGTTATCAGGTAGTATTGTATAAATGCCAGGAAACCATTTATTATATATTCACCTGGATTTCCAGATGTTGTGGCCACCTTGGCTCTCCAGAATCCCATCACTTCTCGCCACTTCCATGCACGATGATGGTCTCTCCTTGAGTACTGCAATAGCCTCACGAGTCTTCCTGCTTGTGTATTTGCCCACATCCACCACTCATAACCAATCTATCCTCAACATGATGATCAAAACCATCCCTTTGAAGCAGTGGTTCTCAAAGTGGGGTTCTGGACCATCTGCAGCAGCTACACCTGGGAAAGTTGGTGGAAATGCAAGTTTTTGGGTTCTACCCACCTACAGAACCAGAAATGCTGGAGGTGGAGCTCAGAAATCTGTTCTTTTAAAGAAAAAAAGATTTATTTATCTTAGAGAGAGAGAATGAAAGAGAGAGTCCACGAGTGGGGGGAGGAGCAGAGGGAGAGGGAGAGAGAGAATCCTCGAGCAGACTCCCCACTGAGCATGGAGCCCAACTTGGGGCTTGAGCCCAGGACCCTGAGATCATGACCCGAGCCGAAATCAAGAGTCGGCCACTCAACTGACTGAGCCACCCAGGCATCCCCAGAAATCTGTTTTAACAAGAGCTCCTAGTGATTCTGATGCCTACTAAGGTTTGAGAATGAATTGTAAGCATAGGCCAGATAATGTCACCCTTAGCTCAAAATCCTGTAAGAGCTAAGGTCATCACATACAAGGTCATACATACACCATCTGGCCCATGGATCTTTCACTGGCCGTCCACCACTCTAGTCTCTAGCTCATTTGCTCCCCTGCCACACAAGGCCTTAGCACTTGTCCTTCTGCAGGAACGCTCCCCAGCACCCCAAACGTCCCTCCCCCACCTATTGTGGCCCTCACCACCTTCAAGCCTCTGCTCAAATGTCTTGTTAACACAGTACATATTGATTGACTGTCGACATCTTCCCACTGGAATGTAAGTTCCTTGAGAGCAGGGACTTTGTTCTGTTGTTTCCTGTATTCTCCAAGCCTGGAACTATGCCTGGTACATAGTGAGTGCTCAGGACTCACTTGGTGGAGGAATGAATAAATAATCCTGCATGGAGGTTCTATCAGATGCCAGATAGCGTGTTAAGTGCATCACCTCACTGAATTCCCACAAGCTAGTGCCCTGGGTGTTATCTTTATTTTACACAGGGAAAAAAAGAAGTAACAGACACTAGAAAGGAAAGGACTGAGATACATGTTATCAGAAAAGGGAACTTCATGATCCCCAAATCCTGGGTCTGCCATGGAGCCAAGTCTGTCTACATTTTGTATCCTCTTTCCTGCTTTTCCTTGCAATTGGTCTAGACAGAGGAAATGCAAGCTTACTCTGGCATTTACCTAAGCAGAAAGTAATTAAGGAGTCAAAAATTCTGCTTTCAATGACAAGGCTACAAGTGGGAGGATTATTGTTTTGTTTGCTGATATTTTCCTATTGTAAACAGAGATATTTCCTCAATATTCAAATAATTTACTCCTTTGCCCAATTACTTTTTTCAGTTTTAAAAACAGTTCCTACTGTATGTTATTAAGGACCTGGTAGAAGTGGATGCTTTAATACGCTTATTAATTTGCTCAAAAATGAGCTATGGTGCATTATGGGGATTTTCCCCCCTTGCAATGAAAGATTGTGTTCCCTGCTAATAGGTATCTGAGAAAATGAAAACCCAATTCTGTGACCAGTACTGAAGAGTGAAACTGGTAGTAGTTCCTCTAAAGAGTTAGACTGTGCTAGAAGGCAGACCTGGGGCCATCCTCTTTCTTTACCTACTTACCTCTCCAGATGATCTCATCTGGACCCAGGACTTTTAATACCATCTACCTTCTGTTCACTCCTTTGTCATCGGTCGGGGTCTAGGAAGGAAACTAGAGCCCATGCTGGGTAATGCAATAGAAGGAATTCAGTCCAGGGAATTAGTTATGAAGATGTTGGAAAAGCCACAAGGGCAAACTGGGGAAGGCAAGATAACCCAGAGAACAGCAATGGCAGGAAGCCACTACCCTCCCTAAGGCTGGGGAGACAAAGCAGGGAAGTAGGTTTCATGAGAGTTTAAGAACAGTGGGAGCTGGGAATTTGAAGGAGAGTTGGTCCAGTGGGAATTCAAACCACTGAACAGGTACATCAGTGCTAGAGATGCTGCCCAAAGTTGAGAGAGGGGAAAGTACTCCAGCTTTTCCCTTCCTCCTGACCTCTAGTCTTCTGCCAGTAACCTTCTGTTGGCCAAACTTTTTTAGAAGCCAGTTGGCGAGGAAGCTTGGGAAGCATCGTTTGCATGGGGCATCCCTTTCCCTGCCCTCCAACTTCCCTACAGAGCAGAGCAGGGAAAAGGAAATGAGCATGTCGACAGACCGGGGATGGACACTATTCCTAAATCACTATCTCCAGCTACCTCTTCTGTGATTCTTACATTCAGTAAGTTGTTCATCTGACATCTGCACTTTAGTGTCTAATATTTCTAACTTAACGTGGCCCAAAAGGAACTCTTATCAGTCAACTCCCTGATATTCCCCTTCTCAGAAAGTGACTCACTCAGCTTAGCCAAAAACGTGGATGTCATCTTTGATCCCTTTCTTTCCTTACTGCCTACTCCTTACAACCTTTTAGCAAGACCTGTGGATTCTACCTCCCCAAACAATTCCTCTCCACTCTTCTCGATCTCCACCATTACCACCTTAGGCCAAGCCACCATCATTTCTCCTCTAGGTAACAATAATGATCCCCTAAGCGGCCATGCTACCCCCCCCCCAACTTGTCTCCTTATAATGCATTGTCCAGGGGTCAGGTCCTAAAGATCTTGAGGGCAGGTATAAGGAGTCAGGAGCCACTGAAGAGGAGTGACTTGAAATAATTTCTATCATAAAGAGATCAGCCTGGCTTCATCGTGGGAATAAAATGTAAGTGAACAAAAGTGGAGGAAGGAAGACCAGTAAGGAAGCAATTACGCTTCTCAGCTATTGTCATCCTTCCTTTTCTACCATGGGCAACCAAGGTCAAACACTGGCCTTGTCACAGTTCTTCCAACATGCCAAGCTCCTTCCCTGTTTAGGGTTTCCCACAGCCTGGAAGGCTTGTCTTGATTTTAGCACAACTGGCTCCACATCCTTCAGGCCTTACCCTCTCAGAGATCTTTCCTGACCAGGCTGTATGTAGTTAAGTGTAGCTGTTCCCAAGTGCGCCATCTCTCTCCCTACCAGCACAAGGAGGCTCGCACCTCTCTGCACACTGGAAGTCAGGTGTGGCCACGTGACTTGCTCTGGCAAATGAAGTGTGGGTGGAAAGTATGATATGTTACTACTGTGTAGAAGCCTTAGAGCCACTGTTTGCTTACCATGATTTTCCTTCTTTCACAGTGACCGGCAGTGTTCCAGGTAACAGGTACTCCACTGACCAGAGACTGGGGCTGAGGACGACAATTCTTCACAGCAGAACTCTGCCGACAGACACGTGGCATGAGTAGGACATAAATCCTTTGCTGGTGCGAGTTGCTGAGATTGTGAGGTTGTTACCGCAGCGTACCTAGCCTAGCTGGGCCCATAGTCCTTCAGTCCCTTACATCATCCCGCATGATATCCATCATGGAAATTCCTACCAACTGGCAATTCCTACTTGCTAGTTTTGTTTCAGAGTCTACGCACCCCTCTCCAAACCCCATGAGAGCAGGAGCTCTCTCTAGCTCATCACTATACCCCCAGCTTCTAGAAGAGTGCCCGGTGCATACTCAGTAGGCAAGTATCTGCTGATTAAACCTCCGATGCCTTGCACATACATTTGTTGCTTGAATGCTACTTTGCCAAGGCGACTAGAATAAATGAATCTTGTGCTCATACATCAGAAAGACCAAAGCTTATAGCTTCACTCCATTTGTGGGTTAGAATTATTGCTTGAGTCACATATACCCTTCCAGCTAATTCACAGGAAACCAAGTTGCTCCCAAAGCCACCGGGATTCCTTGGTCAGAAAAATCCTTGCCAGAAATCATATGCAACAGATAAACAAAAAGGAATGAAATCTTAGAATGATAAATCTAAGAGTGAATTTGCCCAAAATTAGGAGACAGAGTGGGACAAAATTCATTTTGATATTTTTACCTCTACGTAGCACAGTTTTTCATTCTTTTTAAAGCTTCCCATGCCAGGGCACCTGGGTGGCTCAGTCGGTTAAGTGTCTGCCTTTGGCTCAGGTCATGATCTCAGGGTCCTAGGTCAGGCTTCCTGCTCAGTGGGGAGTTTGCTTCTCCAACTGCCTTTACCTCTGGCTTGTGCTCTCTCTAATAAATAAAATCTTTAAAAAATAAAAAAATAAAGTTTTCCATGCCTGCTCAAGCAGATTTCCCAGAAATAGCCAAATCTCAACTTTCACTATTGTAATAAAATATCAGCACTGAAAATACCTTCGTGGTTACTCAATTCAGACTACATTTATTATCTGGCTTGGTTAATTTTAATTGAAAACTTCTTCAGGTCTCACTGATGTCTGCCAGAGGTTTATAACTTTAGAAATTCAAGTTAGAGATTATGTTGCTTGAAGTCATTGCCTTTTAAAACCAAATGTATTAAAATTTTTTTCTACCATCCATTACATAATTTTAATAAAGTTGTAAAGATGATTGTTGTCATAAAATTCACCCTGCAATATTTTTAGGTTTTATATTTTTGCTCCTCACTTAAAAACTTTCCCTAAGTTTTCAAAATCTCTAGGACACTGAAGAAGTAAGCTCCTAAAAACCATGAAGTTTTTACTGCCCCTGTTTTTGCAGGACCCAGCACCCTTTGCAGGACATTCAAGTTCCTTCGGGAAACCAGAGTAAGGTAATTATGTTCTACTTATTTAGCTTAGTCTCCTAGACCCTATACAAAGAGACTATACCTTCAGTAAGCAAGAATCTTTTGTCTACTTTGCAGAAAGGATTCTACTTTGCAGAAAGGACCATTTCACCAAACATTCGATCCGAAACTATCAACTTTTAATGTGAGTAAGATGGCAATTTCTGCTATCTTGTTCAACCTAAATTCAATTTTATTAACCAGGTCCTAATCCCGAAATTCAGGTACTATGCACCTGCAGCTAAAACTTAAAAACGCCACACCATGAGCTCATCCCACTTTCCCCATCCACTGAAAATGGGGCAGTTTGAATACTGCAAGTCTTTCAAACACAAAGCCATATTCACACAAAGGAAAGCATTTACATGTGGTTAAGGAAACAGTAAATTTTCACATTGGCTTTAATGTTTATATTTTACCAAAATTTTCCTGAACTCGGTAATCATTACTAATACTTCTTGTAGTACTAGTTACTGCATCTTAAAAACAAAAAACAAAAACTAAGCAGAAAACATACAGTTGAAGAAAACTGGATGTCAGTCTATACAATGATTTTTTTTTTTTACTTTCAGCATGACACTTTATTTTGGCACTTTAACAAATATTTTGCTTTACAGCAGTGACAAAATATTTGCCAGAAACTTTCTTTTCTTGGCATGGATATTCCAAGCAGTTAATTCTATGAACTTAATTTCACTATGCTTTCCACAGTTAGAGGTATACCCACTACATTCTTAACCTCTGTAATCGAGGGATATTGTGCAACTTTAGAAGGTGCTAGAACTTCCTTTTAATCACCCCAAAGTGGATTGACTCTAAGTGATGGGACAGGAATTTGAGAATTAAGGCCATTAAGAATTTAAGTAAACACTGTTCCGAGTGCTGCTTACATTTTTTTTTTAATGAGTTATGTGACAATTCCAGGGAACGTTCTCTAAATGAAGTATTCATACTTTATTAAAAGTACATTATGTATTGAAAGGGTTGCTGTTTTTGCGGTCTTCTTCCTACTTTGGCGGCTCACACATTAAAACAAAATTTATGGTGAAAACAGAAAAAGCAATGTTGTTAGAAGGAAATACCCAGGCAGGGTACCCTCAGACTTCCATCTCCTCCTCAGGCACTCCTGCTTTCCAGCAATTTCAATCCTCAGCAGTGGGGCCCTCCTTTTAGTGCACAGAGCCACCCTGCCCTGCTTTCCTTCCCTACAGTGTGAACTATGGCATTCCACCTATTGGTTCTTCAGTGAAGCTTCAGGAGAGATTTGGAGCAGAGTTTCCAAGGTACATCAGTCTTCATTCGGTCTACAGGACAAAACCTTAGATACTGACATCAGGAAAATCCCCTTCAGTTCTTTGGAATTTATCCTCCCAAGAGTTATTTGCAAAAGCAGGCATCCCTCTCAATGTTGCCATCAGCTAGCCTACAAAGGTTGCCAACTTCACAATTCCCTCCCTGGCAGTCTTCCAATGTCTACCCCCAAACACAGGCAGGAGGATACATTCAGATTTCCTCTGGCCAATTCAGAAGTGAGTCTGGTAATAAACAGCCTCATCGATGAGCTCTTTGGTTTTGATTTACAGACACTACGGAACACTCAGAAATCAAACCCACATCATCCTCAAGAGCAGATGGTCATTTGCAAAGGGGAGATGTACATTTGATCGAAAATGTACAAAATTTATAACAGTGACATTTTCAATATTAGGCCACATGATTTATTCAGTAGTTTTTATGTTCCCAAATTACAGTTGATGTCTATTGGTAAGACTACAAAAGTTACCATTAGAATTGTCTGTGCTTATAAAATACCAACTTTTTTTTTAAACTGTTATATATACTCATTAACATCAGTCTGCAACGAGTTACATAGAATCATAGGCACTTCAAAGGCTTAAAAAGACGTTTACAACTTAAATGCATTTTTAAGAACAAAAACTGATTTTTCCTTAAACCCCTACTCGTACCTTCAAATTGCAAGAAATTAACAAATACAGTGGCCAAAGGAATCTGCAGCAACTTCTCAAAATACTGTTAGCATCTTTGGGTTTGCTGAGGCTTGTCAGTAACTCACATCAAATCCTCCCAAAAGAAGATCTGATTAGATAGCTATGACTGAACAGTTTTGTGGTAATAATCCAATTTTACACATTAATTTGCTGTTGCAAATCTGCCTGAAGCTACAGGTGATGAAAAACAAAGCAAGTGTAAAATGGATAGTCTGACACTTAAAAATTTATACAAAGTGGAGGTTAAAGTTTACATATTTGAAAATCACATATACACTAAATTACCATTATCTGAATTATCCAAAGACAAATTGCACCGTAACAGCTACAAAAAGGCATAGAGTTTTGTTTTCAAGGGGACAAGAGGGACGAGCAGAGGAGAGGGAACAACAGATAAATTAACAAAGTAAGACCAACTTGGTAAGGTCAATCGGAGACATGCGGACACAAATTAAACAGCTTTCATCTCTGAACCATAGGATAAAAACAATCATTTTGTATTTGCGCATAAAAGTTTAAGCCGATTCCATGAACACAGAGGGTTTTCATAACATAATATTTTGCCACTGCTATTCACAGAACACTGCAGATGTTATTTTAATTTTATGTTGTTCTAAAGAAATACATGAAAAGTTTTAAATACAATGGGATTTTATCACTAAAGGGCCAGAATGGCTCTTCAATGAAAAAAAACAAAAAACAAAGATCTTCATTATTCTATGCAAAAGCTTTATTTTTAAAAGTTCAGTGATCTCATAAATAGAGACACTAAGTGGGAGTTTCATGCATAAAACTCCTTAGTAGGTGCCTTCTGATAAGCAGCACTGGATGGTTTGCGTTCTCCAAGGTCGTAACTTCCTTCATCCTTCTTTCTCATGCGATACACCAACAGCAGGATAAGGAAAATTGCAAAGAGAAAGCCGATAACTCCGCCAGCAATGACAGCTGAAACACGCCAAAAGGAAGATTACTTTCAGGAGAGATTCAAGGACTGCAGAAATTAACTTTGTCGAGCCCCATCTATTTACACCTTTATAAAAGGCTCCATTTGAAAAACCCCAAAACACTTAAAAACTGGATTCGATGAGGCAACCAGGTAATTACCCAAATCTGACATTCCCGAGGAAGGTACAGTACTTTCTTTGATTAGAATTAATAATATCAGTCAAAAGCCTCAATAAGAAAAATCTGGCTGGGGCCTCACCTAATTCCTTCCTTTAAAATTCTTTAGTTTTCTCACAACTCATAGTCTAATCTTCTAATTGCTTTTTCAGTGAAGGCACAAAACACGATAGAAGTGACAAGTTTTGTAAGGGTAAATATGAAAAAAAGCAAACAAATGTCTTTTCTAGTCTTGGCTTTGGGACTATCCTTTCAAGGACTAAGTGTTCTTAAATCGTACACATCTTCCCCTTTAAAATCAAATGGTGACTGCTTTCATCAGATAAGTTACAATGAGAGATAGCATCCTTAATGCCTTGGGCGTTATTTGCATCAACTGCCCTCCCCCCCATAAAGGACTTTTCCTTCTCAAGTTTATTTTGGTATCAGGATGACTTGGAGCTGGATGAATTGAGCTTCACATCCCACCACACCCCCCCCCACACCCAGTTGTTCTGGACCAACTCAGATCCTAACTTTCCTCTTCTTGTACCAAGTGGTAGGATGAGGGAGTGGAGAGAAAATAAAGAACATTTGCCTAACTCTTGTCTCTCACTCTGGAATGAGACAGGCTCTCATTCTTCCTGCTCTCGGCAGGAAGGTGACATTCAGCAAGCTTGGCCTGTATCTCTGAATATCACTTAGCCAAGCAAGGTCTATTTAAGGACCCTCCCAGCAGGCCCCCTCTGGGCTACTCACCTGCCAGAACTTCTGTTCGTTTAAACAGATTGTCTGAGTGCTTCTCAGTATACACATTTGTATCGTCTTCAGCTGGGTCCATTTTCCTTTCTGAGTCAGAGAGATGAACTTTTTCCTTATCAATTTCTTCAGGTGACTGATAAGGGAAAAGATTATAAAGATCTTTTTTAATGTGCTAGAAAGAAGAGAAAACAGAAGTATATTCCAAGGTTTATTGTTTTCCAACAATGAGTCTGGGAAATAATTGTGAAGTTTACACCAAGAGGCGAGTCCTAGGATGGAGCTACGTTGTCCATGCTTTTGTAGAATACCATCATAGGTAGAGGCAAGATGGCTGCTTAGTGAGTTCATGATAATCCAGATGACATGGTTAGGTTGTTTTAGTTGACACTTGATGAGCTCTGTTTTCTCACCGCTCCTCTGACTGCAGGCTCTAGCTCTTTCTGGCTGCACCAACCCAAGAACATGGTCCCAATTCTCCTTACTCCGTCAGCTCTTTGCTGCACGGGGCACTGTAATGGCAGCTTCCTTTCAGGCCTTCTCTGCAGGTGTTCTCCAAGGGCTCTTCCTGCTACCAACTCTGGGGAGTAGCCCTCCAGACTTAGTCAGCAATGCTCCCCTCTCCCTACTCACTCTTACAACTTCAACGAACCCTGAGCTAGAACTTCAGGGGTCTGGGCTCTCTAAGCAGCTCCTGTGTGACCCTGACCGAGTCATACCACTTTCCTGCACCTTGGTGTCTACCTCCGTTTAATGAAGGGCATTCTGAGGTTCTTGGGTTTTCCACAATTCTAAAGCACAAACCCAAGGCGGTAACTCTCAGAAGCTCATCTCCGGTGAGCATTAACCCCAACCACACATTATTATGACAAACCTCATGAATTCCCCTCAGATTTTTTGAGTCTCTATAATCATTCGTGAGACCTGACACAATTCCCTCTGACTTACCTTCTGATCTGCATTTCAGGGGTCCGTGGGTGTGGGGACAGGAGGTCTCCACAGAGCTGGGGCCACCATGCACTAATAGGGACAGTCCATCAGTGCACAAGCTTCCAGGTGCTCTGGATGGAACATTCATTCTTTACATTGAAACGCTTTCTTGTATAGAAGCAGGGGTTTGACTAAGAAGAATTATTTCTACAGTATGGAGCTAATCTGAAATACCTCAACCCTTGTATATATGTGCAAGATGAAATTACAAAAAGGCACCATAGATGATTAAATGAAGTCATTTAAGGATCTGTCACATCCACGTCTGGTTGTCTGGATGCCTTGGAAATGTATCGGAAGTAAAAGATTGTGAGCAATGCTCTGCTTCAACCAACAACTGTGTTCTTTTTATTTTTGTCACATAAATTTACAACAAACTAGATGGGATATCTGTGACAGGGACACTAATACCACTGAGAGACCCATTTGAAAGCAGTCTACATTAAAGATAGCCTAAAGGCAACGTTTAATTTAGTTGTACTACCATGTAACTATAAGATAGAAAATTAAATCACTTATTAATAATATTCACTATCAATATTATCATTATCAGTACCTAGAATAATGTTTGACACACGATGAGTAGCATTTAATAAACCTCTCATGAAGAGATGAATGAGGACTCCACTGAATACAAATGATACTAGGAATATATAAATATGTTAAAATGTTTGGGGATTCTTAATTTCTGAGCTCATCTGCCAAACATCTATCTTCTTTATCTAGATCTGACACAATCACTTCCTTGAAGCCAATTTTTTAAAAATTTAAATCAAGTTTCAATCCATTCCTGTCGACTGACCAGAACTCTACTCTCAAATTAGGTTTTGCTTAGGATACAACTCTTTACCATTGAAAGCCAAAATGGAGTTTCCTGCCTCAAGCTAGCGGGTCTTGATGGTCACCGACTTCGAGAGATTCAGTCACGACAAGCAGTCAAATAAAACTGTGGTAACGCGGGCGCCTGGGTGGCTCAGTTGGTTAAGCGACTGCCTTCGGCTCAGGTCATGGTCCTGGGGTCCCGGGATCGAGTCCCGCATCGGGCTCCCTGCTC